AGAACTCCGAGGAACAAATGAAGAGGGAGACAGATGAAATTGAGCTTAGATGAAAAGTCATGTTGAAGTCTTGTAATGACAGACCTTTAAAGATCTCTTCTGATATGAGCACATGTGTTTATGGGAGCACCTGCTAAGACCTTTCCAAATGAATGCCACTAAGTAGAAGGGTTTACTTTTACTATAACCACAGGATCGGGCCAGGTGTTGTAATAAGAAACATTGCATCCTATGACACCTTTCTTTTCTTTTCTTCTCCTCTTCCTCTTCTCTCTTTACTCCTTCATTCTTTTTCTCCCTTCTCTTCTCTTCTCGGGGGCCAAACCATCACTTCCAAGACTCCTTGTTCTTCTTTACACTGAAGATAGTTGTTAATGGCTTTGGCTGTATGTTTGGGTCTGTTATCTTGCTGCTGAAAAGAATTGGGGCCAAACACACATCTCCCTCATGATATGACGTGGTGGAAAAGTATCTGCTTGTATTTCTCAGCATTGAGGACACTAGTGATCCTGACCAAAGCTCCAAATCCATTTGCAGAAACGCAGCCCAAAATTTGCAATGAACCCCCACCATGCTTCACTGTTGCCTGAAGACACTTTTATTATTGTACCACTCTCCGGCCCTTCAGTGAACAAACTGTCTCCGGCTAAAGCCAAATTTTTCATATATTGTCTCATCAGTCCAGAGCACTTGCTGCTATTTTTCTGCACCCCAGTTCCTATGTTTTGGTGCATAGTTGAGTCACTTAGCCTTGTTTCTAAATCGCAAGTATGGCTTTTTGGCTGCAATTCTTCTATGAAGACCACTTCTGGCCAGAATTCTCCAGACAGTAGATAGGTATACCTGAGTCCCACTGGTTCCTACCAGTTCTGTGCTGATGGCATTGCTGGACATCTTCCAATGTCTAAGGTAAGTAAGCATGATGCGTCTTTCATCTTCCTTGTGTGACCACTGCCAGTGAGTCCAAGGGGCTGGAGGGAATCCATGAGTCTCTGGAGGAAGCAAGCTGAGGTACAGAGAAAACTCTGTCAAGAGGCCTTGTGGGACCTGAACAGCAAGAAGATGTTACCTAGGCTGTGAGAGCTTCAATAGCCAGTGGTCTGGAGACCAAGAGAGGGTCTGGAAGACTGATGAAGCTGCAGAGGCCAGTGAGTCCAAGGGGCTGGAGGGAATCAATGCGTTTCTGGAGGAAGCAAGCTGAGGTACAGGGAAAACTCTGTCAAGAGGCCTTGTGGGACCTGAACAGCAAGAAGCTGTTACCTAGGCTGTGAGAACCTCATAGCCAGTGGTCTGGGAGACCAAGAGAGGGTCTGGAAGACTGATGAAGCTGCAGAGGCCAGTGAGTCCAAGGGGCTAGAGGGAATCCATGAGTCTCTGGAGGAAGCAAGCTGAGGTACAGGGAAAACTCTGTCAAGAGGCCTTGTGGGGCCTGAACATCAAGGCACTGTCACCTAAGCTGAGGGAGCCTAAATAGCCAGTGGTCTGGGAGACCAAGCCAAGCAGAGATACTGCTAACCAGGGAGCCAGATGGCTTGGCATTTTCATTTTGTATTACTTTGAGTGAAGTTGAAACCCCCTGCGTGGGAAACCTTGTGTTGAAAGGACTTTTCAGTTACTGTTTTAAAAAAAAGTGGGCTGTCAGGCCCTTAGGTTTAGTTGCTGTCTGGTGTGAACTCACTAAAAAATGCATCTACTGTTGAGCTAAGCATCCCCCATATCACAATATATATATATATTTCTAAAGCATGTCTTCATACCTGCCTAAAACCTTTGCACAGTACTGTGTGTGTGTGTGTGTATGTATGTATGTTTGTATATATATATATATATATATATATATATATATATATATACACACACACACATATGTACAGTATATAAAATATCAGTTCTTCAGGGAATAAACTTGTTTTGTTATGTTCTCTGAATACAGATAACTTTGTTTCCAAGGGTGCCATCTTAGTAATAAAACATCTTACAGAGGAGAGTTGCTATGGGGTCTCATAATAACTTGTTTTGCCACCGGCAAAAAATTGATTTACTGTATGTGTCCTTATTGATTTTAATTGGGAGGGAGGGATGGTCGCACACATAGCCCCCTTGTACAAAGCTGATATCCACCACGTATTTCTTGCCTTTGTGCTGTAGACTGTAACACAGAGAAAAAAATGTCTAACTGGTTTTGCTGTATGTGGTGTTTTATCTTATTTACATCCTCTATATATGGCTATTGCTGCACTTTGCACCCACCGCTGAAATTAGGTTAAACCTGCAGTAACGCTGACTAAATAATCCAGTATATAATGTTCTATAAATAATCAGGTAGCATACACACTTATATGTAATAAAGTGTTGTTGCCATATAATGTGGCAGGAGTAAGGCTAACAACGCTCAGCATGATACTGTGTGGAGCTGTTACTTAATCTTCACATTTGTGTACAGTGGGTTAGCTAACTGTGACCGTCATTAGTGCTGTCATAATATACAATGTGTTACTGCGTGCTTCTATGAGCCTGGAAACCTAGCCAATCAGAAGTCTATGGTAGTATAGTATATATTGTATAGGATTTTGCAGTGGCTTCATACATTCCAGATATGAGCTTAAAGGATAACTCCACTTTTGGTACAGAGGAAAAAAAAAAAATCATTAAAAAAAAATTATAAAATATATATATATATATATATATTTAATTATTCATTTTCCACGTGTGAGTGTATATATATATATATATACAGTGGGGATCGAAAGTTTGGGCACCCCAGCTAAAAATTTGTATTAATGTGCATAAAGAAGCCAAGGAAAGATGGAAAAATCTCCAAAAGGGATCAAATTACAGATTAGACATTCTTATAATATGTCAACAAAAGTTAGATTTTATTTCCATCATTTACACTTTCAAAATAACAGAAAACAAAAAAATGGCGTCTGCAAAAGTTTGGGCACCCTGCAGAGTTAATATCTTGTACTGCCCCCTTTGGCAAGTATCACAGCTTGTAAACGCTTTTTGTAGCCAGCCAAGAGTCTTTCAATTCTTGTTTGAGGTATCTTTGCCCATTCTTCCTTACAAAAGTCTTCCAGTTCTTTGAGATTTCTGGGCTGTCTGTCATGCACTGCTCTTTTAAGGTCTATCCATAGATTTTCAATTATGTTGACGTCAGGAGATTGTGAAGGCCATGGCAAAACCTTCAGTTTACGCCTCTTGATGTAATCCCTCGTGGATTTCGAGGTGTGTTTAGGATCATTATCCATTTGTAGAAGTCATCCTCTCGTTAACTTCAGCTTTTTCACAGATGGCATCAAGTTACCATCCAAAATTTGCTGAAATTTTATTGAATCCATTTTTCCTTCTACTCGTGAGATGTTCCCTGTGCCACTGGCTGCAACACAACCCCAAAGCATGATTGATCCAACCCCATGCTTAACAGGTGGACAGAGGTTCTTTTCATTAAATTCTGTGCCCCTTCTTCTCCAAACGTACCTTTGCTCATTCTGGCCAAAAAGTTCAATTTTACCCTCATCGGTCCACAGAACTTGTTTCCAAAATGCATCAGGCTTGTCTATATGTTCATTTGCAAAGTTCAAATGATGATTTTTGTGGTGAGGACGTAGAAGAGGTTTTCTTCTGATGACTCTTCCATGAAGACCATATTTGTACAAGTATCTCTTTATAGTGGAATAGTGTACCACAACTCCAGTGTCTGCCAGATCTTTCCAGAGGAATCGTGCAGTCAAATGTGGGTTTTGAATTGTTTTTCTCACAATCCTGCGAGCTGTTCTGTCTGATATTTTTCTTGGTCTTCCAGATCTTGCTTTAACTTCCACTGTTCCTGATGACTGCCATTTCTTAACTACATTCCGAACAGAGGATATTGACATCTGAAAACGCTTTGCTATCTTCTTATAGCCTTCTCCAGCTTTGTGAGCGTCAACTATTTTCAGTTTCAGTTTTCTAGACAACTGCTTAGAAGAACCCATGGTGCTGATTGTTGGGGCAAGGTCAGATGAGTCTGGGCATTTAAAACCTTTGAGATTGACATCACCTGGTATTCCCAGACGATGATTGAGAACAATCCATGACACTGGCAGGTCTCAGCTTGGCAAAGGGGGCAGTGCATGCTATAAATTCTGCAGGGTGCCCAAACATTTGCAGACACCATTGTTTTGTTTTCTGTTATTTTGAAAGTGTAAATGATGGAAATAAAATCTAACTTTTGTTGACATATTATAAGAATGCCTAATCTGTAATTTGATGCCTTTTGGAGATTTTTCCATCTTTTCTTGGCTTCTTTATGCACATTAATACAAATTTTTAGCTGGGGTGCCCAAACTTTCGATCCCCACTGTATATATATATATATATATATATATATATATATATATATATATATATATATATAATGAAAGGAACACTTTGAAAACACATCAGATCTCAATCCGGAAAAATCTCCTGCTAGATATCTATACTGATATGGACAGGGTAATGTGTTAGGAACGTAAAGATGCCCCATTGTTTGATGGAAATGAAAATTATCAACCTACAGAGGACTGAATTCAAAGACACCCCAAAAATCAAGGTGAAAAAATGATGCAGCAGGTGAGTCCATTTTGCTGAAATGTCATTGCAGCAACTCAAAATGGTCCTCAGTAGTTTGTATGGCCCCCTCCACGTGCTTGTATACATGCCTGACAACATTGGGGCATGCTCCCTAATGAGACGACAGATGGTGTCCTGAGGGATTTCCTCCCAGATCTGGACCAGGGCATCATTGAGCTCCTAGACAGTCTGAGGAGCAGCCTGGCAATGCCGGATGGACTGAAACATGATATCCCAGAGGTGTTCTATTGGATTTAGGTCAGGCGAGTATGGGGGCCATTCAAAGGTATCCATTCCTTCTTCCTCCGGGAACTGCCTGCATACTCTCGCCACATGAGACCGGGCATTGTCGTGCACCAGGAGGAACTCAGGACCCACTGCACCAACATAGGGGAATTTCTGCTTTAAGGACTGCTCCCCCGCTCCCCAATAAGGATTGGCACCTTTGGGGAGCGGGGGGAAACAGGTGTGAGATGGGGAAACAGCTCTCATTGTTTGAACACTGTTTGTGTGCAGTAAATTAATGTGTGGAGTAAATTGATGTTTTGACTGACATTCTGCGATTTAGCCACAAGATGTCACTGTTTTTCTAACAAAGGCTCAGACTGCATAGATATTTGTATATTCATGAAGAGGTGGGGTTTTCACACAGAGTTGGGGTTTTTAGTGAACAGGAAGAGGAGACTGCAGCCATGTTTTGGACGATGCTGAATGCAGGAGCCATGTTTTGGACAATGCTGAATGCAGGGGCCGTGTGAGCTGAGAATCCGATGACATCCAGATGTGAAAGCGTCCCTCACTAACCAGAGATTGCTGCCAGGAAGGCTGATGAGAGCAGAGGAACTAAGCAACATTTGTTCTGTTCAGAGTCACCAGCAGATGCAAAGCAGACCTGGGTCGGTAAGATCGTGCACGCACCTCATTTCATTGTTGGCGATCAGAGACTGAGTCCAGGCCGATAAGTTAGTTGGTTAGGGTCTCTGTTTGTGTCAGGCTGCAAGTGTTGTTATACTGATTATTGGAAGGACTCCACCACTTAAAGTGACATTTCACATTGGAGAACTGATAAAATCCTACAAACTCAAGCCAGACTGGCGTTTTGCTCAGAAGGAATACTCAGGCACGTGCTACAGGACCAGTTATGGGAGAGGGAATACTGTAGATTTGTGTAAGATTGTAAGCTGTTGTGCTGCACCGCAGGCTAGCCCATACCATACACCCATACACTGATTCCTGCTCTTTTAGGGTAATAACGGGTAAGGTGTGGTAGCTTAGTTGTGCCCGCCAGTAGGTAAATTACTTCACTTTCTACCTTCATCCATCAGAAGGCACCGTGCTGTGCAGCACAAGGGTCTCAGCCTTTGGGCTGGGTGGATGTAAATTTATTGTATGTTTCCAGCATTTGTGGTTGTGTTTATTTGCCACATCTAAGTAAAATTCTGTTGTGGCAAAAGCTGGTGTTGGGGTTGCTTTCCTCGTTCGTGACTTCACTGTATCCTGGGGAGCCCACCCCGGTACACGGCTTACACAGGTACCCGAATTTGACAGGTACCTGCTCCCACTTCTGGTCCGATCACCTAGGCAATCAGAAGCGGAAGGTGTCCTCTCTCCCTCCTCCCTTGTAATCTTTTGGGACACGTGACAGGTCCCAGAAGACTATAGGACCATTCATGAAGCGCAGCGCTACTCGCACATGCGCAGTGTGTACCCGGCTGTGAAGCCGCAAGCTGTCACAGCCGGGTGCCCACACTGAAGATGCCGGCGTCCAGGAATACAGGACGGCCGGTGAAATGGGCTGCGGAAGGACACACCACGGGACCGAGGGACAGGTAAGTGGCTGTTTTTAAAAGTCAGCAGCTACAGTTTTTGTAGCTGCTGACTTTTATTTTTTGGCAGGGTAAGTAGATTTGGTCTCTCTATTTGTCCTGCTTACCGTTATCATCAAGAATGAAAGTGAAAGAAAATACACAATTTTGCATAGTCACCAGAACAGGAATAGAGGGGAAACCTTCCAATGAGGACATTAGTCCTGGAGGCCCTGGAGACTACCAGGGATTTCCTCACTAGCATCCTGTTTTGGCTATGATCCAGGAAGTGAAGATAAATCTCCTCAAAGGGACACAGAAGGCAAAAAAAACCTGTCTGTGGTTATAATCCTACCCAAAATGGAAATAGGTTTTACCTTTAGTTCTATTTTAATTATTGTACTGTATCTTTCATGATCACCACCAGCCTCTCCCATCCTATGGAACTCCTTACCCCAGTCTGTCCTGCTATCTCCTACTCTGTCCACTTTTAGGCAATCCCTGAAAACCTTTCTCTACAGAAAGGCCTATCCCGTCTCCACCTAACAACTGTATTTTCACTTTCTCCATCAACTCATCATCAGCCCCCACAGTTATTACCTTTTGTATTACTTGACCCTTCCTTTTAGAGTGTAAGCTTTAACAAGCAGGGCCCTCTGATTCCTCCTGTATTGAATTGTATTGTAACTGTACTGTCTGTTCTCATGTTGTAAAGTGCTGCGCAATCTGTTGGCGCTATATAAATCCTGTATAATAATAATAATATTAATAATAATTCCTTATGATAACCCCAGGGGCGGACTGACAACTCATGGGGCCCCCGGGCAATAGGAGATCATGGGGCCTCTGTGTCCTTGCCCAAACTCAAAAAAGCCTATGAAAAAGGTACCAGTGGCATCTCATGGGGCCCCCTACTGACCCCGAGCCCTCGGGCAGTGCCCGAGTTTCCAAATGGTCAGTCCGCCCCTGGATAACCCATTCTGCATCATATTTACATTGCCCTGAGACACAGTGTGCCAAATCCTTGCAGTCAAATACCATAACCAATCTTCTGGTGCCTAATACCCAATAATATATGTTGCTTGCCCCCGCCATGACAGGTACATTTTATTATTGTTGGAAGGCTAGACATATACTGTATCTCAGAACACAAAGCAAGACATAAGACTTTGCATTTGCTCTGCCTTTAGATCACGTGCCTCGTCTTCAGTCACAATAAAACCATATGGACGTAATTAAAGTCGACAGGCAGATGACCGTCTGCCAATTCTTTGTCAATAATTTACCTTATTCTCGTTAGTTTTGCACTCGGGTAAAGACAGCTTCATAATATAAATAAGACTTCCCCAACCCCCTTCCCCACCAGACTGTTCGTTTGGCTTTTGACGAAACAACTGCGTTGCTCTCCAAATTCATTAAATAATATAATACAATCTAGTCGATGCACATTATCTAGTATTCAGCATCTGCAATTTATCAAAGTGTCACCTTTATTACCATAAAATTAAATAAGTCACAATGTATAATGTGAAATAAATGTCAATTGATGTATTAATATTTTGAAATAGACAATAAATGATCAGTGTGGTCAATATTGGTAGGTCCATTGGAGATGGACAAAGACCCACTGAAGCACCTACTGGCTTTTTGTCAAGGATCCAGGTATGACCAGAGGTGTGTGGACTGACACAGGGAAGTAACAGGCTTCGGAATGCTATAATAATATAATTTATTATTAGCTACCCAAATATACAATGCTCAGTAAATAAACCAACCTGCCACTAATCTTAGTATGTGCAGGAACACAGGCGCAGTCAGGGCTGGAGAGGTGGAAGGGTCAGGCCGGCCATATGGTTCTGTTAATGACCATCTGGTGGTACCCCTAGCAGTCCTCAGGACAGGATTCCCCAGGACGCGGAGTCTAAGTCCCAGTCTGCTTATTCACCAGGGCCCCTGATGGTGGGGATGGACTTGGAGCAGACAGGAACCAGGTCGCGGGCCCCTGAGTACACCTGCACGTGGTAGAGGGATCCGCCAGAGGTATATGCAGGTAGGAAGCCTGAGCCTGATGTGAAGAGGGTGTGAGCAGGGATGGCTGGATCCGTGCAGGATGGATGGATCATCTGGGTAGCATAAGGCGTAGTCAGGCCAGGTCAGCAACATGCGGGCAGCGAGGTACCGAAAGAGCAGGCAGAGAATAGTCAAGGTCACAAGCCGGGTTCAGTAACTCACGGGCAGCACGGTACAGAGGATCAGGCAGAAGGATGGTCAGGCAAGCCAGGGGTTAAACAGGAGAAGGTCAGCAGGGTCAGGAACAATGCAGAGTCGGCAACAAATCAGATAGGCAGAGGAACAGGAACACAGGATACAAGGTACAGGGGCTCATGGGAAACATACACCAAGGCACTGATCACAGGCCTGGTCATTCCTTAAATACACCTCCTGCAATCAGCCCCAGGTGTTGGCTGACTGCAGGAGTGAGCTTCTGGCTGCTGAGAGCACCCGCTGGTCAGCCTTGGTACTGCAGCCCACACGGCAGGTGAGTCCCACCACCAGTCCATTCCTGACACTTTTCTTATCTGCTGAGGACTTCAGAGAAAAAGACCCAATGGACTTGCAGAGAAAAAGACCCAATGAAGCACCCACTGGTTTTCCTTATCTGTTGGGGACTTCAGAGGCAAAGACCCAATGAAGCACCCACTGGTTTTCTTTATCTGCTGAGGACTTCAGAGAAAAAGACCCAAGGAATCACCCACTGGTTTTCCTTATCTGTTGGGGACTTCAGAGGCAAAAACCCAATGAAATACCCACTGGATTTCCTTATCTGCTGGGGACTTCAGAGAAAAAGACCCAAGGAAGCACCCACTGGTTTTCTTTATCTGCTGGGGACTTCAGAGAGAAAGACCCAATGAATCCCCGACTGGTTTTCCTTATCTACTGGGGACTTCAGAGGCAAACTTTGTTCATTGCTGTCAGCCAGCAATACTGCTCACAACCCTGGAGTCTTGTTTCTCCTGCTGCATTCTTGGTAGTGGAAAATCCAACAATTCAAAAGAGCTTAGAATCCAATAAAAATAATGGAAGCTGAACTCCGGCCAGATATAAAAGGCATAACTGAATGTGGCTCTGTATTCATTAATATATCATTATAGGCAGGGCTTTTTTCTCAGAGAATAGGTGCAGGAACTCCCCCCTTCTGAGTCACTCCTGTCTCCACCCACTCTCCTCTACTACACCTCCGAGCATCGTTCCTTTGTTCTACCTCCCAGTACTGCCCCTTTTAGAGAATACAGAACTAAGTATCATATTGTTGTGCTAAGTATTTTAGAAATTGTGAAAGCTGCAGCAGTAAAATAGGTCCCTTGCAGCCAGCAACAATAGACCACCTGGCAACAATAGATGGCCACAGCAACAATAGATCCCTCAACAACAATAGACCCCCATCTGCATCATCAAATTTCTAAACCCTCTGCCAACCAGCAATGATAGACCCCCCTCCCTCAACTGTAGATCCCTCCCAGCAAAAAATGACCCCCCAGAAAGTTAAGACCCCCTAGCAACAACATATCCCCACCAGGAACAATAGGCCCCCACTTAAAAATAGATCCTCTCCAGCAACAATAGATCCCCTAGCAGCAAGCTACACCTAGAACACCCCGACACCCCTTGCCATTATATACATCCAGTGCTGGAGGTGCCAAAACTGCTTTCCCCCATGTTTCCATTAAGAGAAGCCATGATTATAGGCATTTGTTTTTCTTTTTGCAAGCACCTATATTAGACCTGGTATCTGTGCAGCAGAGCTTGGACTAGAATAAGGAGGAGCAAATCTGTTGTGCTGCATTGCTCATGTATTAACAGTAATTATGCTGATTGGTGGAAAGAGCAGAGTGAAAAAGAGATGAGCCATTCTTCTGTAGCTCCTTTTACTGTGGGGAGAAGATACAAAGTCAGCAATCTACAAGTAACACACAGCTGTAAGGTTTGCTTCAACAGCTCAATTACCAGGGGGTGGGAAGGATCGGAAATTATACGACCAATGTTAGAGTGGTCACATGGTCATATAATCGGAAGGTCCGTAGCCCAGATCGAGAGCTGTCTTTGATAGCTCAGTCTTTGTGCTGGGAAAATGCAGTGAGCACACAGTCATCCAGCGATTCATGTGTGGGCTGTGTGGGTGTTTGCCACTGTACATACTGTACACTATATTGCCAAAAGTATTAAGACATCCACCAAATCATTGTGTTCAGGTGTTCTAATCACCTCCATGGCCACAGGTGTATAAAATCAAGCCCCTAGGCATGCGGACTGCTTCTACAAACATTTGTGAAAGAATGGGGCGCTCTCAGGAGCTCAGTGAATTCAAGGCAGAAAAAATGGGCATTGCAATTTGCTGTGTATGATGCTGCACAGCTGTAGATCAGCCACAGACAAAAGTGCCTACATTGGCAAATGACCATCACAACTGGACCACGGAGCAATGGAAGAAGGTAGCCTGGTCTGATGAATCGTGTTACCTTCTATATCACGTGGATGGCCAGGTGTATGTGCATCACCTGAGAAACAGTTGACATCAGGATGGAAGAAGGCAAGCCAGCGGAGGCAGTGTGATGCGATGAGCAATGTTCTTCTGGGAAACCTTGGGTCCTGCCATGTAAGTGAATATACACTATATTGCCAAAAGTATTGGGCCAGCCCTACAAATCATTTGATTCAGGTGTTCCAATCACCTCCATGGCCACAGGTGTAAAAAAAAAATCAAGCCCCTAGGCATGCAGACTGCTTCTACAAAGATTTGTGAAAGAATGGGTCGCTCTCCGTATTTTTCAATATTGAGTTGGCCCACCCTTTTAAGCTATAACAGCTTCAGTCCTTCTGGGAAGGCCGTCCACAAGATTTAGGAGGGTGTCTATTGTCTATGAGAGTGTTTGACCATTCTTCCAGAAGTGCATTTGTGAGGTCAGGCACTGATGTTAGACGAGAAGGCCTGGCTCACAGTCTCCACTCTCTAATTCATCCCAAA